CCTGTAACTCAATGACTGATGGTATTCCACCTGAAAAGTCCCAAACGAGATGAAGCAGACCCGCTGTATTCCACTCCTAGCCACCAGTAAACAAACGAGAACTGCGTTTTGTGTAAACTCTACATCTATTAAAATTTTTCTTGCAAACGTGCTCAGCTAGTGCGGTTTAGTAAGGATCCTTCATCAGACGCTCTCTACTGTGTAACCAACTTTATCTTAGGTGAAGAGAAAACATTCATTAACAGTAGCATTTGGTATTTGCTGCCAAAAAGACAATGAATGATCCAATAACCAATTAGCTCTTCATCTACCTGTTACTTTTCATACCTCTTCCTTTGCCATTCTGTTTGCAAGTACAAATGTTTAAACTTGATCCTAAGGTGCCTCGCCAAAGACCGACACCAAGAGTCTACGTTTAATGCTTACTGGCACTCGTCAGCAAGCCAGATCATCAACTTCACACACCTGACAGTAGCTTTACTTCTGGACCTGAAGGCAGTATTAGACTTCACCAATCGAGAAGTTTTATGGCAGTGTCTCTCACTTAAAGGGGCACCGAGTAAGTACATCATCCTACTTAAGGCTCTTTACTCGAACAACTTCGGGCGTGTTAAAAACTATGTTGAGATGTCGGGTGAGCTGTGTTTGTCAAGTTGTGTCCGTTAAGGACGCCCACTCGACCCATTCTTATTCAGTTTTATTATAGGTGTTCTTTTGGAGGTCTCCTTCTCATCATCTGACCACACAGGCATTGACCTGATCACAGAATTTTCGGTAGACAAAGAATACCTAGATGACTTAGTCTTGTTAGGTGAAGACGCTGACAAGATTCAGGATCTTGTGGATACCTTGAGCGACAATTTAAGAATGTTTTGGATGCGTTTATCGCCACTCAAATGGTCTTCAACTATCCCCCGGCAAACAGTAGAGAGTGAAGTGGCTGACTGTGTTGAACACTTCACCTACCTAGGAAGTCGGGTCAGTCCAGGCGCATTGGCCGACTAAATCTCGGCACGGATACAAAAGGCACGGTTGACTTTTGCCAACTTGTACCACCTGTGGCGCCGCCGTAATATCCGATTGTCTACTAAGGATCGAGTGTACTGTATTGTTGCCCTTTCTGGTTTACTGTATGGCTGTGCAGCATGACCATTAAAAGTATAGGGCATGAGAAGGCATCAGGTGTTTGACTACCGTTGCCTACGTAGTATAGGCCTCGTGTCATGATGTCATCACGTGAGTAACCCAGAAGTGAGACACACAGTTTTGGGACAGAGGTAAGATAGTTAGTGTTGTTGTGAACCTTCGTCAACTGAGATGACTGGCCGGGACATGTGTTACGTATGCCTAGCCACTGTCTGGCTCGTCATACAATGTTGGCCGAACTAGTTTCAGAATGGAAAAGGCTTGGGGCGCCCAAACTAAAACACACCACCAATGCATGAAGTCCTTGAGTGTTCGTCCGAGCCATGTGGGGCGATGCAGACTAGCCAAGTGGGGTCCACAGGACCGTTACACAGTAACGCCTGGTCCTATATTGATGATGACCTGACCTGTGTCACTCAGCACTGCAATCACCAACGATACCACTGAATAATGGGAGGCACGAATGATCTCCCGAAGGACTGGATTATATAGAATGATTGGTCATTGAAGAGCAAACAGTTTCATGTTGTCTAGTCCTGAGTGCTGAATGCAGTGCGGTCAATCGTTTTCAACCAACATCTATTCAAGTGCACCGCAATGTTGAGGCTGGCATCCAGGCGACCACGCTGCAGAACAACCAACAAAATTCGATTAGTACTCAGAACCAGGCAACATGAAATTAGTTGCTTTCCAGTGACTAGTGAAAGTAATAAGTGTACCACTACACAAGCCTCAAGTGTACTGAAGAAATCCTTTCTATATTTACCTTTAGCTTACCTAGTGAGAAGTAGCCACAGCAATCGAATGACATTTCAGATGTTTATTCACAACTATATTTAACGAAAGACTGAGATGATAGCGTGAAACAGATAACTCAGCAATACGAAAAGTAAGCACAGAGCAAAAGTTGTTTAAGTCGACTATACGACAACTGGTTAACTACTCTCATCGTCAGTAATTTTCATATACACACCATCTAAACACCAACATAATAAAATTACTACACAAAAGAAAGAAATAACAATTTTTCTTTTTTAAATTGTTTCATCGAAAGTACATTAATACATGAAAAAATATCATGAAATTATTGGCTTGTGCAATAAAAGAGAAATAGTAATCATCAAAAATAAATTAAATAACTGGCTAATAATGCTGAATATAATTGAGCATTGCAAAAACAATAGATAAAACTGTTTTTATTCCTATATCATCTCTGTTAGTCTGGTAACTAGGCGCTAAATTTCATAGCTAAAAGAAGAAAAAAAGAAACATGCAATTTTTTCCTTTTTTAGGACCAAACAACAAAAATTCCGAAGTATTACACAAACAAAGAAAATCAACTTTTGAAAATGTACAATCATTGCTGTTTATTACATAATAAGGAGATGGATGATAAAAGAAAATTGAATTACCAGCAGGTATGATGTAAACACCACCACCCCTTAGTAATAATAATAATAATTATTATTATTATTATTATTATTATTATAATAATTATAATAGTAATAATGCACCATTCACACAGAAGAACAGAGGAAAAAATAACACCAGTAGAGAAAAACCCTGATTTCTTTTTGTCATTGAAATGTTTCCAACAGTAATAATAATAATAATGACAAATGAAAAAAGGGGCTATTCAATTGTCTCATCTAGATTCATTAAACACATTTTGAAGATGAGATGCTAAAGCTGCATCTAAATCCCATTGATGACGACGTAATTCATCGATTGCTTTGACACGAGAAACACCACGATCAACAAGCATCTGAATTTTTGATATTTGTGATTCATTAAACTGAAATATACACATAATACAATTAAAATTATCTTAAAAATAATGTAAATAATCAGCTGATGAATGTATATAAACAATTAAGTATTTTACTATGTTAGAAAATTAAAAGATTATTCTCACCAGATAAACGACAATGATATCGAATAGAAATGATACTATTCTTATAGAAGACAAAAATAAGGATTAGAAAAAGAAAATCAATAATAGTCATGGATTAGATAAACAGACTAACTTAGAATCATGTATAAAGGTGAAGTGGTTCATACTGGCACATCTTCGAATCATCATCATCAATATCAATATGGGACCAGGTGTTACTGTGTAACGATCTGAGTTGCTACAGCTCATATCAGTACATCAAATAGAAAGGTAGTGAGGTGAAAGATGAAGATAAGAAAATCCAGTCAAAAGAAACAAAGAAGGAATGACAAAATGGTAAGAATCGGTATAGCGTCATTAAGATGAGGATAATGTGCGTATACATCTACGCCACTGACTTCGATTCTAAGCCATATCACCTAGAGTCAGTCTCCGATCACTGGTTCCTCTTGTCCCACGAACCCCAACCACCTAGTCTACATCGTCCCACATGGCTGAAACCAACAGTCAGAGACTTTATGCATTGGTGCCATGTTTTAGTCTGGCCACCTTGGGCCTTTTTCCAACCTGCACCTACTTCGGCCAACATTGTGTGATGAGGCAGACAGCGACTACGCATACGTAGTACGTGTCCCAAACATCTCAGTCGATGAAGGTTCATAACCTCGTCAACTGATTTACCTCTACTCCCTAAAACTCTACTCCTGACTTCTGCATTACTCACATGGTGACACCACGGAATACGGCCTATAAAACGAAGGCAACGGTGGTCAAACACTTGAAGCCTTCCACATCTTAGAAAACAAAGAGAAAATCAACAGAAATGGGGGATCAAAATCAACAAGGGTAAGAGCGGTTAGTGAGAAGATAATGAAAGCTAATATACAATTTCGAACCACAACATTGGCTGTGAAACATGTTCATTAAAGGTAGAGAATATAGGAAGGTATCATGTGTTTGACTACCATTGCCTACATAACATAGACCGTGTGTCGTGGTGTCATCAGGTGAGTAGCGCAGAAGTTAGGTGTAGAGTTTCAGGGAAGAGAGGAAAGTCAGTTGATGAGTGTGAATCTTCATTGACTGCGATGGATAGCTGGGACATGTGTTATGCATGCCTAGTCACTGTTTACCTTATCGCGTAATGTCAGGTGAAGACCTGAGTCATGCTGAGAGATGTAGACTAGCCGACTGGGGTCCACGTGACAACAGAAACCAGTGGTTGAAGACTCTAGGCAATATGGTTCGGGTTGGTCACCACCGTGGACTGACATCAATTGGAGGAACATCGGAAACCTGGGAGCATTGGACAGCTGTTTCATTTTAGTATGGGACTCCTCCGACCCAGTGGCTCAATGGTAACGTGATGGCAACGGAACCTGAGGGTCGCGGGCTTCACCCCTGGCAGGTCCGTGGGTGGGCACTACTGAGTAGTCCCGTATTAGAACAGAACAGGTTTCCAATGTTTCTCCAACTGATGTCAGTTCACGATGAATAACAACTTGGAAAATCCCCACAAACCCCCCAAATTTAATCGAACTAGTGCTCATTGGTGACTTAGCTTCGAGAGGTGATTCCCAAAGTTCCAGTAGGAATTGGTGACCATTGGGGCAAACCTGATGGCCGTGAGGATAAATACTCAACAATGACATTAGGTGGGGGTCGCGCTATGTCATGAACTGACAGGAGTTGGAAGTATGGACGACTGGATTCCGACCCAGTAGCTCAGTGGCAACGGAACCTAAAGGTCGCAGGCTCCATCCCTGGCGGATTCGAGGGTACTCACTGCTGAGGAGTCCCAAAATAGGACGAAACCACTGTCCAGTGCTCCCAGGTTCACAACGTTCCTCCAACTGATGTCAGTCCGCAATGAATAACAACTTGAAAAAAAATCTCTAATTCCCAATAAACCCCCAAATTCAATATGGTTCAGAATCGACGTCAGTGACGCAGATATATCTAAACATTATATTCATCTTAACCACTATACTGAATTTTGCATTTTCTAATTTTCACTTTCCTCTTTTCTACTGCTTACTACTGCTTTTAACCACCTTTTCTTTTCTTCTTCATCTCTCATCTTACTATTTTGTTACCTGTTGTACTGATATGAGGTGTGGGAACTTGGACCGTCATGTAATAATGCCTGATCCTATGTTGATATTGATTGATACTCACTCACTGGTCTAAAACATTTTGACAAGCTACCATTATTTATAAAACTCAGACTAACAACTGATGACTTTGTGGTACAGATAAGTTTCACCAAGCCTTGCCATTTATACAACCTATTCCTACTTTATTTAACACTGTTCATAAGAGAAAACAAAGTTGGAATAAATTATTCACTTGAACCAATCTCATACTTGGCGTAATTTCATCATTTACCCCATTGGTCTATATTTATTATCCGAAATTCCTACAGAATCATTTTATTCAAGCATAATAAACACATTAGAGGAGAAAAAAGAAGGTTCATTTCAAATTTTATCATAAGGAATGAAGAGTGGATATTCCTAGCTGATTTGAAAATAACTCTATACTCACCGGAATAATGTTCTTAGAAGAGAACTTTTAACGAGATGCAAGTACTTGCTGAAAACTTTCTTCAACGACACAGAATTATGAGATACCTTGGCTAATGAATGTAAATACCGTGGCCATCTAGCTAATCAAACACAACTATATTATGAGAACAGAATCGGACAACATAGATCAATAAAGAGTAGGTGCTATTTCATGACGGTTGAAACAAAGGACAATGATACTTTCCAGTTGCCTACAAAGAAAAGAAAAGCTTACAGGAATGTATCTGACGGAAATTTTTAACTTGGTTATCTAAGGCGCCATCATTTTTACTTCAGTAGAAAAAAAAATGACAGGAAACAGTTAATTCTGTGCCACTATCTAACTATCATACCTATCACAAAAGTGAATAAAAAAGTATTCTTTGAAGACAGTCGGGCAAAATAAAGATAAAGCGAGATGAAATAACTTCTGGAAGAAGACTTTTACAAGTACTACATTGGAATACACTGTAATTCACAAAATCATAAACTATGGCTATGTTTACTGGTAACAGTTGACAAAATACTTAACTTTGATTGATAGTCTCATACTGGGTGATGATTGAAGGTGAGATGAAAATCTGGACCGCGGTCGGATTCAAACTAGCAACCAGTGACATTTTCAATCTGAAAACTCCTTCTGTAAAAAATCTAATTCTACAGAAAGCCATTTGTAACTTAGACAGCTCAGGATGGAGAATCTTTTTCACCTGAGCACTGACTGATACAAGTTATAATCACCAATTTCCCTCAAAAATGTAAATTTAGCTTAGAAACAGGCACCTTAATATAGTCCAGGAACTTCCAGTTTATTATTTATTTTTTTATTTGTCCTATGTCCTGTCCGCAAGCTCTCATTTCTTCCTCACACCATCTCCTCCATGTCACCCTCGCCTCCAACGCCCAACTAGCCGTTTCCCATCTAGGTTCCACTCGAGTGTCTGGCCTGGCGCGTGATGTCTCCAAATGGTCTTCTCAGTGCATGTCCAATCCATTTCCACTTCCTTCTGCATATTTGTTGAGCGATAGGTTCTTGGTTGGTTCAATCCCAGGGTTCCTTCTTGCTTACTCTTATTATTCTGGCCACCTGAGCTTCAGTAACGAGCGTAGGGAGTTGTTGATGGATATCTGTAGTTTGTTGGAAATGCTTTTCGTAACACCCCAAGTCTCCCAACCATATAGGAGCACTAACTTGACATTGGTGTTTAAAATCCGGATCTTGAGATTAAATACTGAGTGCAGAAGATCTCCATACTGGTTTCAAGTTAATGAATACCTGTCTTGCTTTTGGTTCCTTTAGGTTTCTCCCGTTGATGGCGACTGAAGCTTGTTGGTGGTGGTGATGGCGTTGGTTGGGTATCTTCATCACCTCTGTCTTCTCTATATTCACTTTAAGTCCCGTCTTCACTGCCCTGACTCTTCTGTCAACTTGTAAGTTTTTGCCTGTAGATCTTCAAGTTTGTGTGACATTAGACATAAGTCATCGGCGAAATCCAAATCTTCTAGGATCTTTTCCCCGATTTCCAGTTAACTGACTCTTATAGAACCCAAAAATCAAACACTTAACTTTTACAATTAAGCAATACACTTACTTTTTCATCAGATGACGCATCTTTGTTACATACATCTGCATTATTCAAGATGGATGGATTTGAAAATGATGAAGGAATTTCAGATTCTGGTAGGAAAGGCGCTTCAACACGACCATCAATGACTAGAATATTACGCTTTAAATCGATACAACACTGATGTCGTTTAAGCATATCTAAACCAATCAGAAGATCCATAGACTGATCTTTCAGTACAATGAACGAAGTCTATAAAAGAGGTTAAATGATATACATTCATAGAAATACATTGATTAGACGTAGTTCATATTTTAAAAAGACACAGGAAAACAGATAAGTTAGTTTCGAAAAGAAATCGGAAAATAACTCAGTACAGGCGAAAAGTCACACCTACTGTATGACGGCTGCCTAAACTTTAGTAAATGGACCGGGTTACCAGTATCAACACACCATAGTAGACCACGTGGTATTTATTGACTGTTAGTAGACAAATAGTAGTTATATTCAAATAATATTAAAACTTTTATGAAAAAAATCTGCACACGCAGATTTTTAAGCACTCAACAGATGTTAGTTGGATGGAGTAGAACTGCAGGGAACCCAGCCTGAACTAGGTTTCTTACTTGTCGGCACTCGCCAGCGACGTGTAACTACAACCACAACAGAACTGATGTCCCGCCTAAGGTTCAAACCCATGTCACATAGTGCTGCAGTCAGTGAAGTCATTACTGAACTGTTCGGGTTGCACCTTACCACCTATAGGACAGGACTGGGTACATTGACTAGTCACTAGATGGTAACCAACTTCATGTTTTCTATTCTTAAGTGTGTTGGTCGAATTTCTATCGACCACTTTTCAATGTGACCACCAAGATTCACCACTGAGATGCAGTGGGATAAATGTTAGTTGAACCGACAAAATTCGGTCCGCAACTGAACATGAAGTCGGTTACCTTCCTTCCAGTGATCAATCAATGCACTTCGTAGATGTCTCTAAGGAATTACAACAACCTCAAAGAATTTATTTGCAACGAAGAATAACATGTACACAAGCGATAAATCGCTCATTGAATGAATTTAAGCAATTCTTTAACTGACACAACTATGCACTAGTCTTCTCCACCCTACTGTAAAACTCTGAATAAGAAAATGAACCTTACTGTTTTAAATCGAGAATATCTAAGCACTTACCTAAATACCATTGCAACCTTCCTAAATAAGTATAATTTATCCATCAAAGAAATCCCCAAAAAAAACTTGTTCTGAAAACCTGAGGATTCAGTGCTCATACAAAGATGACAATATCACTATGAAGCCGCGGCTCAGTGGGTCAGGGAGATGAGTTTCAACCAACGGGTCAAGGGTTTAAGATTCGCTCCACCTACCGAGGTTTGGGTAACCAAGCAGTATCACTAGAACTCACGCTCATTGCCAACTGCACGGATATCCGCTCTATGCGTTTTGTTTCATCAATTCGTACAACGTCACTGGTATGACTATCTAGGATAATCTGATTGTAGTCAGGCCCAAAGTATCTACCAATGTCAAATAGTAGTCAAATGTTGCGAAATAAACCCAGTGATTTCCTCGTAAATAGACAAATGCGAATAAGAGTTTAATCGGGAATGAATATTCTCAGAGATTGATTATGACGTATGGAGACTGAGAAACTGACAAAATCAACGCAAAACCTAGTACACAGGCGCATAGACTTAAGTTGCCACACATCACAGTGGTGTAAAAAGAACGCGTGGACAGAAAAAGTGATATTAGAGTAGACAGAGTAGTGTGAGAGGAGAAACAATCAGAAGATAGAGGTTAGGGCGAGTATTGAAGCTTTATAATATGTTAAGGAGTAAATACATCTGCCCGATAGCGACCGATTTCCAACCATGTCACCAATACTCCTCGACCATTGATTCCTATCGCTTTTGGAACTCTAAGCAGGTAGTCTACATCTCCTCCACATGACTCAGACCAACAGTTAAGGACTTCATCGAGTGGTGCTACGTCTTCGTCTGACCACTCTGATCCCTCTTCTAACGTAACCTAACTTCCTCTAGTATGGCACGTCGAGGTAGGCAGTGGTTTGGCATGCGCAGTATATGTTGAAGCCATTTCAGTCGATGAACGTTCACAACCTCACCAATCAACTTGCCTGTCCTACCTAGTACTCTTTCCCCGACTTCAACATTCCTCACACAGTAATTCCACCAAACGTAAGCAATGCTACGAAGAAAAGTATGATCAGAACCCTGTAACCGCTTCAATGGAAGGAGAAGAAAGAGTTGAATGAACAAAGCAAACAAAGTTTCTATTCGCTTAACATTCAAGAGAGATCCAATATTGGAGCAGTAAAAAGAATCTTTTCTGTAGCAAAACGTATCATCCTCACTGAACTAGTCCAAATTGAATAGATATCTTGATCACATCACCTGTATTTATGTATTTATGAAATTACATGCACTAGCGATAGAAAGTACATTGTAAGGACTGAAAGTAGGACATGGAATCAGTTCGCTGAGTATATTCCTTAGAAATTATGTCTGAAAAGAAGAGAAATTCTAATCAGTACAACTAACAGACATTTCGTAGATACAGAAAATCAAGTTAATATTTTTAGTGCTTTTAGAATGATTAATCTACAGAAAATGTCTAGACTAATACACTTTGAGGAAATGATTGTTATAAAACACGTTCAATCCAACTTCTATATACAGGAGACTATGGTTAATCACTTATTATCATAGTGACTGTAAGTAAATTGATCATGTTGCATTTCAACTCAATAATTCACTATTTTACTCACCTACTATTGACTTCAAGTCATTGAGTCGATTTTAATCTTATGGATGTCATCTCATTACTACTTTAAAGGCCACCGTAATAAACGACAGAAGTAACCAATTATATTTCTTTATGTTGAATAGAAAAACAAATTTTCATTGGCCTTTAAACCTACTCTAGAATAAATGTCAGCCATATTAGTTATAAGTCTGTGAGGCCAAGGTAAAAATGTGAATGTGCGTGTACATGTGAATGGGTGTGAAGTCATAAGAAAACTACTATGGATGAAGAATTATTTATTGGTATGTACTTTAGATATGACTGTTGTGTTGTTGTTGTTGTGTCGTAACCGGTGGGGGCAAAGCCTGATGGTCGTGAGGACAGTTACTCAACGATGACATCGGTTGGCGGTTGCGCTATATCGTGAGCTAACAGAAGTTGGAAATATATACCATTGGATTCTGACCCAGTGGCCCAATGGTAACGTGATGGCAACGGAACCTGAAGGTCGCGGGTTCGATCCCTGGCAGGGTCGTGGGTGCGCACTGCCGAGGAGTCCTATACTAGGACGAGACAGTTGTCCGGTGCTCCCAAGTTTCCTTTGTCCCTCCAACTGATGTCAGTCTACGATGAATAACCACTTGAAATATAACATACCGTCTAAGTTGATTGGTTGAGTGCATTAGAATTCAACACAATGTGAAATAAAAATTTGAAGCGTGACATGATTCGAACCAACATTCATCGGGTTTCCTACCAGCTGCTTTACTAACTGAGCTACGAGACCTGACTGCTGATCATAGTTTTGTTTCACTTCAATCACCAAGGGCATTTTATTCAATCGCCATATAAATTCATAACCCCGTCCTATTGTTTGATCGTACAAACACTGGCTGCCTAGTCATAACTTTTCATCCAAATCCACATCTACTTGAATCAGAGACGGGAAGCATTATTGAATTCTCTCGTGGCTTAAACTTTCATTTCACCTTTAAGCATCACCCAATATCAGCACAAGTCTCCAAAACCATGGATATCTCAGATAGTTACAATGAGAACAATGTAAAATGCCTCAGTTATATCTGTCTTTCCTTGTGGTTTAAAAACCCCTTTTATATAATTTTAATAACTTCAATATTAATTTTGTGATAGATAATACGGACAGTAATTTCCAATTCGATTTATAAATCCTCTAGTTTTAAAGGACTATTTAGCGGTCATTTTGCGCAACAGACTAACAATAGCTAACGATGACATTCAGCCCCATATTATTACTATGTATGAACAGCGTAATCTGATTTGCTCCCATTTACCATTCAAACGTGAGATAACGCCTCCGGAAGAAGAAGAAGGAGGAGAAAAAGAAGAAAAAGCAGGAGGAGGAGAAGAAGAAGGAGAAGCGGCTTCCATGAAGTTGCGAAGCAGGAGAAATCTGTTTTTCTACCCCAATGGGATTTTACAAATTTGTTTGATCTATAAAGCACTTACCCTATGCTCAACTTATTCAACTTTATCAGGTCAAATTTTGACCCTTCAATCTACAAAAATCGACCTTATGTTGAATCTGATAGCAGATTTTAACAAGCCATAATTCTAGTATTCATAGCAAAAGATATACGTCATTTGGGAAGCAGTCATACGCCCCCGAAAACTCAATAGTCAGCTTTTTAACTCCACAGATATAGGGTTAATGTTGGAAGTCTAGGAGTAGAAAGCCAACTTCTCTGACTTTGACAGTCACCACTATGGTGTTTGATGACTGAAATGCACAAAAGGTAATATAAAATGTCATGCTTCTACATGTTTTTACTTGTTAGGGGCTATGATTCATAAAATATTCAGCGGTTTATGCTACGACTTGTTTATTCAAACAGAAGTAGATAATCGATTGTTTAAACTATCGAGCAACATCTGTTTAGAAAGGTATAGTACAAAAGTGAGATGATCAAGTGACACAGATGTCTACTTATATTTTGGACCTACTTAGCGACTACATTGAGAAGACGTAAAAAAATGAATTACAAAGAAAACTGTCAAGTCATCACCAAATCTATCATCTCAATTAGAGACACCTGTATGACTGTGTTGTGCATGTCAAGCTAACACCTACCTCAACGTTTAATGCCATATGTTAGATTAAGCTGGAAGAAGGTTCAGGGTGACTACACTAAGATGTAACATCAGTCGATGAAGTCCCTAACAGCTGGTATGAGCCACATAGGGAGCGTGTAGACTACCTGATTGGGGTCACCGAGAAAATAGGAATTAATGTTTAGAAACTCTTGGTGGAATGGTTGAGAATCAATCACAGTTCCATTAATGTATTCCCTATTTAACATCTTCCCTAAACTTGAATGTCCATCTTCCTGTCTGGTTATCTAATATTTCCATCGTATAAAAAGAAAAGATGTGATTCAGATACTCAAAGAGTAAAAGTATCACCAATATTTAATGAAAAATAATCAAATTAACTAACTGGGATAAAAATGCCTGCAACTTCAATTAAACCATTATGAACCCGACCGATTATAGTCTGTGTTCCAACTCCATAGGCCATACCAGCCCATCTTTTATCAATTAATGAATCTAAATTACAACGACGTGCACAATCTTCACTCATAATTGTACTTTGTGCTCCAGAATCAACAAATGCTTTAATAATTTGATCTTTAATTTTACAATTGATAAAAAGCATTGATACTTGTCCAAATGTTTCTGGATAATATTCTAGAGCACTTTCCATTTGCATATCAATATTTCTTTGTCTAATAAAGTGAACAATAATGAAAAAGCAAAAAAAAAATGTAAAGAATAAACAAATATACAAATATGAAAGATTTACATAGTCCTTCATTAGAAAAAGGAGAAAATAAGAGAAAGAAAATACTGATTTTGATAACTGGTTAAGAAAATGAATATAAGAATAAAAGTGATGCTTGATAAGATGTCAGTCACTGCCATTAACTTTAACCTTTTTATACATAAAACAAATGAGTATGAAACTTCGTAAGAGACTTCAATAGAAAGCTAATGATCTCACTCATGAATTAGTGTTATATTTTGTTACAGACATTTAGTGGAGCTGTGGTTGATTAATTTTAACGTAGATAACTTTCATCTAATGTTTAAGGGGTTTGAACACTGCTCTGCCTACCGAGATTTAAGCAGCCAGGTAATATTCCTAGCCTTCATACAATAAATATGGGTCATTGCCTACTGCACGAATGTGCACAGAGTCGATGAGCACAGTTTAGTCATTAATAAGCTAAAATCAAGTTTTGCAAAGGGTTGTGTATAATCTATACCTAAAACATCACACATGATGTAGACTTATAACCAACTCACCTACATATAACACACAACTTTAACATTAAAAGAGTGATTCCAATGGACACAGATAGATAGATGTTTCTGAAAAATGTCATTTAAGCAATTATATGCCATACATATTAAGTGAGGGCTGAAAAATCTACTTGACAGCTCAAACCTCAGTTATTGGAGTTGGGTTTAAAAACTCGTGTCCCATAGATTGAAAGTTAACTGATTAGTCCAATGGCCTATGGTTTTACTGATATTTTAAAGATACTGATGATCGAATACTTATAACGCTTTCATATCGTAGACTCTTTCAGTGGTCGAAGCTTACAACAACTTGTAAAACAACTTAGTCGACAAATATTCATACTTGATAGGAACAAAGCAAGTAAACATAGAAACTGTATAGACACATTTTGGATTATAAGTGGATACAATACTAAAATTATATCTCATATTCTTCTTTTGTAGGTCTGGATATAATAGTTCTAGTGATAATTAAATATGAAGATCTCTGTACATTTCTAGCCCATAAAGGTATACTAAATACCTCCCAGAACTCAGAAATAAAGTTAGTTGCAAATAATGATATGAAATCTGTAAGATTTTGCTAAAAGTAGATGTTTAGGTACTAGGCTGAATTACAGTTGTAGTGTGACAGTTTAAGTGATAACATCAAATCGTCTAGATGAAAATAGCAAAACGTGATCTAAATAGATAGCCGGTTCGTAAGGCAGTCGAGTGCTTAAGCCACTGAGCTATACTATAAATATATTTCATTCGTTGACAATAATAGGATTTCTGGAGGATCTCCCATTAGGACCTCTAATGGCAGATTGTTTTATGTCAAAATTGGGAATTTCTAATCTTAGCCAAACTATTAATCACCTTAACATCTACAAAAGATACATGGATGGGATATTCATTATTTGTGACTCGGATATCGATCTGGATAATATCCTATACAAGTTCAACAATTGTCACTCAGTCTTGGAATTCACTATACAGACGCAAAAGTAATCAGCTACTCTTTGACAAGGAAATTACAAGATGTAGCAATAGAACACTAAAAAGATTCAACGACAGAAAACCCACGTGCAACAGACAGCTTAATAATTTCTATAGTTGCACGCTAAGCATGAAAAAAAGAAACCCCATTCACTCACTCTGCTATCGAATATGAAAATATTTGTACCACAGACTGTGTGCATCTTGAACTTAACTTTCTAAGAAGGACGCATACGAAAAACAGCTATCCTAGCTGATTTGTTGACAAAAATATGCGAGGAAGACATGAGAAAATAATCATCACTTCAGTTTCTAAAAAGATTTTCTCCACAAATCTGAACTTTAAAGGTGATGTAGCATTAAACATACTGAAAAATTGTCTTTTGAGATCAACTAGAAGGAAAATTTTTGCAGCCAAACCTCATTTGACCTTTAATAGTCATAAACTGTTCTCTGTGTATGAAAAAGACAACATCCTTCGATAAACCACCTCCATGTGTATCTTTCTACCAATCCACCTGCTCCTATGGAGCAGAGTACATTTAGCGTAGCCATGGATTGCTGTCAACACATATACTAGAACGTTCCAGCCTGGTTCTATAAGGGTGAAAGGAAATGCATTAGCAGTTTTATCCTTGAATATGTAACCGATCCCAACTATTCAATCGACCCCAACAGTGATTTTAAGGTTGTCTATCAAACTCGTACAAACATATTACGTTTCCTCCGCGTTCAACTTCCAAAAACAGCAGTGGCTATCCATGAACAAGCCTGAATTTTGTATACAAAAGAAGTACACATAGTCTTTGTCTCTACCTTGGTCTTAACTAATTTTTATCTTGGTTCTTTCCGTTTTTTTCCAACCTCCCACTTTGTTAGATTAATCTTTGTACTCTTATATCATCATTACCACTATTATAAATTTTACATTTAATAGCTTTGGATGTTGTTCCACTTAATCATCTTCCCAATAATTGTAGTTTTTCAAGACGGTATTGATCGTAGACTGACATCAGTTGGAGGAACAATGGAAACCTGGGAGCAGTGGATGGCTGTTTCATCCTAGTATGGGACTCCTCAGCAGTGTCTACCCACGACTTTGCCAGGGATCGAACCCGAGACCTCCAGGTTCCGTGGCCAGCACGTTACCATTGGGCCACTGGGTCAGAATCCAATGGTCCATATTTCCAACTTCTGTTAGTTCACAATATAGCGCAACCGCTACCCAATGTCATCGTTGGAAATACGGATCATTGGATTCTGACCCAGTGGCTCAGTGGTAACGTGATGGCCACGGAACCTGAAGGTCGCGGGTCCCATCCATGGAGGGGTAGTGGGTGGGCACTGCTGAGGAGCCCCATACTAGGACGAAACAGCTGTCCAGTGCTCCCAGGTTTTCATTGTTCCTCCAACTGATGTCAGCCTACGATGAATACCATCTTGAAATATTTCTAAATCCCCACAACCTCCTCGAAATTCAATTGTAATTCTTAACAAAACATTTTCTACTTATCCTAATTAATTTGCCTGGTCCATACTACCTGATCCTCTGATTGCTCATTAACTACGAACGTGAAAATTGGGAGTCCTTTTCGGTGAATATCTTGTTTTAATGTAGCAATGGGGATTATGAATTTAATAGCAGATACACAATGTAGTTAGTGCAGCAGACAGAACAACAGGTAATTTCGCGAAAGAGTGAAGTCGTTCATACTGTCGCCGTTTGCAACAAAAAACATAGAAGAAATCACCAGAAGAGAAGTGTATGCTGAAAACAGCATACACGCATATAGATAACGACATTATTACAAATCTTAGGATTTTGAAGATTATAAAGAGTGAACATATCTATACTATTGTGATCGGTTTAAACAATGTCAGTCACATTCTCCAACCTAAAACACTGAAAACGTCAACTACAACGCTTAAACTTCCTTCAAAACACTTCAAACCAATAACTTGCTTTCCTTGCCTCGTATTCTATGCTTAGCCTTAGTATTGTTTGTTCTGCATTTTCATCATACATTAACAATGCTTTGAAAACACGTATCATAAAAGAAACTTGTGAATTCCTAATCCCATACTTTTTCGACAGCTGTGTTACACAAACATATAGTATGACTGCTGAGCAGTACATTGACTGTTTGGCGGATAGTGGCGGTATCCGACCATCATTTTACTTTTTATTCCACAGAACTATAAACAACTTGAAACATAACCAGCAATTATTTAAGGTTTTGGAAGACTAATACATCAATTTGATCTTCAACACACTTTGTTTTAACTTACTAAATCATGACTACAAGGTTCCCATTTTAAAGATGAGGTAAGATTAACTAAAACCAAGGCTATATTAAGTGACCGCTGACATTGAATAAGACTGGCTGCTGCACTAAGGTTACAAATTATTGATGAAAACCTTAAAAAGATTCAGTACAATGAGACTAAAAAACTACAGCTCAGATGATGTTGTGCAGCATGATAATTGAAAATCAGTTGCCAAGTTAATAAACCCATAATAATAGAAATTTAGGAAGAAAAATAAATAAATATACAACTAACCTAATAAGTTCAGCTATCCTCTCTTGAACTGACGGATCCAAAGCATTCGCAGACATTAAATCCTCAAGTTCCTCACGATGCCGTCGAGCATTAATCTGCTGTAATTCGAAAACTCTTTTAAAGCCAGCTAGTGTTATACAACAAAAAAAGAAGATCAAGGCATAAAGACAATTTTCAACAGCTTGTAAATTAAATGGACTTTAGAAATAAAATATATTCATTCATTACAAGTAGGATATAATAACACAACAAAAGCAAACCATTCTATAATTAACCACTGCGATCAAGAGATAGGCAAGTGAAATTACTAAACTGTTGCACATTCAAAATAGTAATATGTTTTACAAAGGTACTTTGAAAATAAAAGTAAACAGTTCTAATGAAGTCTAAACCCTTTAAGTCATTTTTCTAAAAACCCAAAATAATTAACGGTAGCATAGAGAAGTAGTTTACAGTTCTAGGTCAACATGTCGATCGGTGGCTTAGTGGTTTAGGAAGGTGATTGTCAACTATGGGGTTACAGGTTCCACCTCCGCTTCACCTACCAAAGTTTGAGCAGCCAGGTAGTTCCATTAGCCTTCATACAATAGGTGTGGATCCTTGCCTACTACACAAATGTGATAAGAGAAGGTAGCTGAGTAATTTTCGTTCCGTTTTTGCTCGTTTGTCTCTAGGTTGACATGCGAAAATGAAATTTCAACCGTCAAGTATACTAAATACTACTAAATACCATTATCCGGGGAAGAAACTATTCTGCAGTAAGTTAGGTTAACTAATAACTGTAACTGCAAAACGAATGGCAGAAGCTCTTATTCAAATCGACTTCAAGTAGTATCACTCGTTAGTTTCCACTTAGTCACACCAAATTTGTCAGAAAAATGTCCTGCTAGGATAAATACTTTGTTTGGATTTGATTAGTCCAAGAGTCAATGAGTTAAGTAGCTACAGCCAAAACAGTTATCAGGATTCATTCCAATGGATACTTTGAAATGAAGCCTTATATTGTACATCCAAGATGCAAAAGGGAATATTGAAACTCGTCTGTTTCTATAAATGAGCAGTTCAGTGAAACTCAAGATGAAAACGTCCCAACACTACTTAACAAAACAGAACAGGGTAGTATACTCTAAGGGAGATACACTAAAGGAAAATGTATCCAATGGGAAAAGGTAGGGGACATTTCACTTGATTTAATATCTTCGTTTTATTACCCAGACGGTTAGGAAGAGTAAGCGAACAATTTAGTCATTCTAGTCCACATCGATTTGTTACCTTACATAATGACCTATCTTCTTTCCTAAGCACTCTGGCATCACTAAAAGTAATCGCAATACACAAGACTGTTACTATGAACATATGCGATAAGAAACTGGTTCTTCTCAATAGTCTCAGATGGTGCATTTTTCAGCACTATACTGAACATAAATATCCTGGCCTTCAAAGCTTTCAATACATCACACAATCAGACAGAAGAAAAATTCACTATGTTTCAAAGCCCTAATGACAAGCCATATAACCAAATGACGAATTGTGTAGTGAAACTCGGACACTTGAAAACCATACTTCTGGAAATTGAACCAGTTGTGGATTTATATGTCTTGTAGCACAATTCACACTGACAATGCAAATTACATTTTATATGAAGATAACACTTCAGGGAAATGAATCCAATCACGAATAGTAATCCAACTAGTATGTTGAAATGTCGATTAACCTCGGGAACATCACCACTTGTAAGAGTGATATCCATGAATCAGGCAGTGGAAGATGATATCCTATATCCACATCTTTCGTTCACCCGTGGTGGTTGTAAAAAAACTGTATTTTACGGGCCTATATCGTGTTAAGAACAACAAAGAAACTTTGCAACCATATATAAGACTGGAATGCAAGGCAGAGCAGCAGTTTGACTGACTGGTAAACACAGATACTTTGCCTGTATCGCAGGCAGTGCATCTAGATGAAAACTGAAACTTCCTTAGTCACTTACTCTTTGACGATGAAGCAAATCGTGAAATCCCGAGAATACTCAGCCACTTCACTACTTACTCTAGCAAAAAGTAGATATAAAAACGAGCCCTGAAAGATATCGAATGAAATAGGCATTCCATATATCCGGGCACACGAAACCATGAGTTTAATTTGCTGCACTTCATAGTAGTATGGAAACAGAATATCGCTGAATTACAAAAACGTCTGCTAGAGGAGAGAAGATAAATAAATGAAGGTTGACGAAAATGTTCAAAACCACACAGATGAAAAGGAATGTAGGCATCTGTGCCACTATCATCCATTCTGTCACGTAACTGATTGGTCAGGCAAACAACCTATATGGTTCAGATCAACAGTCAGAGACTTCATAAACCTCTATAGTTTCACCCAAATTGATTGATGTGAAAGGCTCATTCCAATAGACTTAAAAAATAGCTTAAATGTAAGTTGAATAGGGGTCTTCACAAAGACTACGAGGAGTGGGAGGTAATGCAAGTGAGCGAGACGGTTCTGGGAAATACTCAAAAGTTATTTAGGCTGATTGAAGAAATTCGCACGAAGGTGATCAGAGAGATTGTCGCTGAGGTCAGGTCCCTAATAACCTCTCAAAGCTGACGCCAGGAACTCTGGATAGAACACCTCGAAAGATAGTTTAACTGGTCCATAGTGACGCTCGTGGTTCAACATCCAGTCCCCATTTCTATGGGACGTAGTTGTCATTTACCTTATTCTTACTTATGGTGAGAACGTTATCTCAAACGCAAACCATGTCAAGCAACAGGACCTGACATTTTCTCCTATACGCTTTTACGGATGGATGAAGGTGGAGAATTACTGATTGAAATAACTGGAGTACTAATTAACGTATGATAATTACAGGCAGTCCCATGAGACCAGTGTGAGTCATTGATAATTACAGCTTCGAAGAGAAAAATCTTCCTGTCAGAAACACATGGTGTCAGTCTGACTAACATAATATCTAATATCTACAGTTTGTAGTTTTCGGAAGTCCAAATGGAACGCAGAAACAACAATCTTAGAAAAAGTAAATAAGCTTCAAAGCTGAACAAGGTTATCTCAGTCATATTTTCACCATCCAACGGGTTTCAGTACATAACAATACTTAGAGACACCTGACACTTGCTATATTTCTTAACCCGAAGTTGGCGTTCGACTTTATCGATCAAAACCTATTGCCACAGTGTCCGACTATGAAGGAATCACCAAGTGAATATGCAGTACAAATCAAGGCTATCTACTCCAAGTCATGTACCTGTGTAAAAACTTGCGGAGGGTTTTCATCGGAGGTAGTGACAAACAGTGATACCCATGAAGGATTTCTACTGTCACCATTCATGAGTAACTTTGCTACATATGTCATATATTGACTTAAAATATGACGGGAAGACGGCGCGTTCATGTTTAGCGAGGACTCCGGCAAAATGAAGTCTTCTGAATCCTTTGAACCGAAGTCCGAGTACGTTTGAAATATGCTTCGCAACTCCTAAATGTTAGTTGATGCTTCGAACTCATCTGAACCGAACTCTACCAAAGTGATATGTGCTGAAAACACCAGTTGCCTGGGAAATCGAATCAGCCTTAATGGTCAGGTTGGTGATGAAACTTCATCTAAGATATAGATTTGTTTAGCACTTACCAAATGCCGTTCACTTCGACTACCAAGATGTCTCACGATATATCAAAGGAACCACCATATGAGCAACGTTTAATTTTGACGTAAACAAAAAGACAAGTCAAATGATGAAGTTGTGAAACTGTTACGATTGAGATGTTGCTTATGAAGGTCGACTACTTACCTCCATGGACCATACTAGTAGAAAAAGGACGAGAGAAAAGTAAAGGTGACCACATCAAGATATGGCACTGATACATGAATTCTCTGACTTATTCTGAACCATGTTGAGAGGTGTGGGCCTGTTGGTTGGGGGTCCTGGTTGTAAACTCTATGATATGTTTCGAAATTAGCCAGTATTCATCATCAATACTGAAATCGAAAATACTGACAATATCGAGGCATCCGTAAAGGAGTCCATAAGCCAATATAGTGGCCGATCAATACGATCCAATCAATGACAGCAGTTCACAAGGTATAATATCAAGGACTATTCAGGTACCAACCAGCAGTGTGAACTCAGATACTTGTGTTAGGTAGAGAAAGACTGGATCGAAAAGTGCTAAAGGTCATCCCACCGAAACATGGCAAGTATCCATGAAGTTAAATACTGCTGTTTCCAGTTGCAAAACGAGGTTGCCTGGTTACAGTTTATGAGTTGCTGGGATTCAATGTCTGAAGATATATAGAGTTTCGGTTGGAAACCAATCAGACTGGATCAGGTCTTTTTAATTTTCATCGCCCCAGATAAGCCAAGCAACGTGGTAATCCTTATTATTTACCTCCCCTTTTTCTTGACGTCATTTTGCTTACTATCTCTTGACACTTGTTTTTTGTTTGTATGGTGTTATGAAAACGAATACTGTTACTTTATTATTTTACATAAACTTCATACAGTGAGCGCCCTATGAAATGAGTTACAAAATAATAATATAACGACAACTTGGAGAAATAAAAAGGAAAGATAACACAATGACAACAGAAATACCCTAATAAGACGCATTCAAAGAAGCGTTCCGTCCTGTTGTCTAAGTTTCTAATAACAGGATAAATAAAAAGCTGCAATATGATCAACACTAGCTTTGACTCTAAGCCAAACTTGATGTCAAACACTTTGCAAGGTCGCTCAGGTTCCACTCAGAAAGTCGTAATGTACCTATAGCTACTGATCCATAAACTTTATTACTTAATGTACCAGCTTGGTAACGGTAAGTCACAAAAATAATGTAACTAACTTATGACACAAATGATAAGAGAGATAGAAAGTACAAAAGTAGATGAACAATAATAATAGGTGTTTCAAGAGCACATTCAAAGTAGCGTTCATTACTTTCACTCTGCTCCTTGATAAGAGAAGAAGACGTGGTATTATCCCCAACGATTTCGTTTGGCAAACCTTTTTAATAAAAACTCGAGGTACTAAGTCGAACTATTCCCAGGACTCCATTCGAAAATTTGTGATGCACCAAGCACAACTATCCTTCATTCAATAGCACTACATCAAATAACTGCCCTATCTCTGCTTTCGGCAACCAGTCCCACGAAAAGTAATTATTGAGAGGTACAAAAGACAATAAGGCAGCAAGCGAAAATACATTAAATCTGCTACCAGCACCTTTTTAAGATTACCTGACTTACTGAATAGAAAATCCAATCAGAATAATACACGTGCCATCAGAACTAAAAGTAGTTTACACGTCGCCGCCATTGAATGCATGAGGTCCCACGGGAAGTAACTGGTCGGGAGAAGTCGTCGGACATTTTCAACATGGGGAGACCAGGTCTTACAAGTGTATGGCTAAAGTATCTAATATATTATAGATCCAGTCTTTAAGATAGAGAGAAATCGAAGCTTTAAAGTCACAAATAGAACAAGAATAGTTGAGTCACCTTCCATACTATTGAACCTAGTTGGTAACCAAGACCCAGGTTGAAATAAGGAACAAATCACATAAACGCAACGCAGTTTATGCTTTTAAATGACATTCATAGTATTGAATAATGAAGTTGCAAAATAACATCAATCAGAACGAAAGGCTTCCAAACCAAAAAGTGGTTATCTTTATGGGAAAAACAAATCAAAGAGACCCTACTTAATTAATTCCACGTGGGCCGCTTTATGAAATGTTACACGATATACGAGTATTATTCACTGTTTATAGTCATATCAAAGTTCATGAGAAATTTGGACGCTTTATACAGCTGTAACTTTTTTTAGATACATATAGATTTTTCTGTATCTAGAGCAGGTCCTCAGTTATTCGTATATCAAATAAATAAGTAGACATTAATGTTGAACCTGGTGCAGAAGTGTATCGGTTCAAAGTGCTTACCACAACAGCATTCGAAGGAAAAGTGCATAGGAAAAGAGATATTCAAGTATATGAAGGTTTATAGGAGGAAAAAGAATTTGAAAAATGAAGGTTATGGGAAATTTTTAACCTCTGAAGAAATAAAAGAATGAATACATCTGCGTCACTGTGACCTGCTTCCAGTCATGGTACCACGAGTCTTTAACCATATTCTACTTAACTTCAGGACCTCGGCCAGTCTACATTTCTCTACACGGCTTAAACTAAGTCAAAGACGCCAGGACCAGTACTGGATCCTGTTCTGGTCACTTTTAGTCTTCGAATTTCATCCTACTCTGGTATTTCAAAACTAAACTAACGTCAACGTGGCATCAAAGGCTATCCACACTGGATTATCCTGAGACGGTTCACATAACCTGCAGTCGTTCTGACACGTAAACTTTACGAAACTATAGAGGAAAAGGTACTCTCAGTGACCTGCAACTCTCAAGACAGCCATAGACATTAAGGTCACTCAAGTGTCAATCCTCTAAGTTTTATCTACAAGCTAGAAGACTGGTAAAGTACCGCGAACTGTGAGTGCTCACACATCATCCCAATATCACCTTGTTTTTAACTCGAACTAAATTGTCGCACATCTTAAAAGATTAGCTTGGTATCTAACAAACTTTGAAAACTAATGATTCTCTTCTATCTTGAATTGGTCGTGAGCGAGAATAAATGATATACTACAATCAAGCACGGTAACCAATCACATTGTAGCTTCCAACAACTGACACCAGTTGCGACTGATTTGTTGTTCTAAAAGAGACCAATAAATGTCCCGATATTTGCAAATAAACAGGTAGAGTGAAGAAGAAAAAGAAGAGCGTAACAAAATGGTTACTGGCAAAAGTGAAAAATTAATGTGATGCACACAAGCGTCGTCACTAAAACGTGGGGAGAAACAAATCAACTGCGGACACTACAAAATGATATGAAAAGCCAGTCTTAAAATGCAAACTAAAACCCATTAAATCAAGTTAGAACATTATGTAAGATGAAGGATAATCGTACCTGGATCATTAACAACAGCAGCTAACTCAGGATTTCTCTCACGAAGAGTAGCAAGCTGGTGGGGAGAGGCATCTAAGAATGATCTGCGTATTATTTCCAGCATCCCAGACCCTGAAGAACTAGGAACTTTTATTGACTTGAAATCAAGCAAAGGAGCTTGGTGTGACTGCTTAAAATCAGTAGATGGTAAGAATATCAAAGAATTACTTACCGGTGCATTGCTACTTGTCCTGTTGCTCTGCGAAGAGGAAATGGGACAGCGTAAAGCAGATCCTCATCTTTAATTCCTGCCTTCTCAACACTAAGATTGGACTGGACATTTAAAGCTTTTCCTTCTTTCGACAGTTCAAAGTCAAATCCCGACATTCCAGTTTCAACTTCGATCAACATTTTTAGTTCCGAGACCAGTGTGCTGCTAGAAATTTCCAGAGGAAAAAAGGAATCTCCGGATAGACACACCGTTATCCTCATTATAGGTGTAACGCAGTTGTTGTATTTCCCACAATGCGACTATTTCCAAAACAGATTTGAAGCTAGATGTTGGAAGGCTATGAGCTTTTGTTAATCCTCTTTCGGCAGATCTCTGTCCCTGTCCACTCCTTTCTTGAACGAATCAACCGATGACGCAAACCCTACTCCTTGTGAGAGTCCTTTCCAAGATTTGATTGTCCGACTCGAAAACCAGTACTCTACAAAGACTACGTTCGTCTTTGGCTTTTGTGTTCTCCTGTTATGTCCTCTGAAGTGTCTCGACCTGGTTGGAAAGAGGAGAGAGGATAGATAAGGTTCAAAGTCAGTTCTTAAAATCCTGCATAGCATGATTAAATCTCTCATCTGTCTGCTGTAGAGTAGAGCGAAGAGGTTAGGCTCCCGAAGCCGGTCTTCGCAAATCAGACCATCTGTCACAGCGATCACATGAGTGGATGCCCTGTAAGCTCCTTCCAGAAGGTCTGAGTCACCTTCCATACGAGGATTTCCCGCCTATGTAAACTCTAATTTAGACTGACATTGGGGTATGTTACTGATGGTTAGAGACACTTACTTTTGTAAGTGCCAAGTGTCCCACAAATACCAGTTTTGACCAACTGACAGTGCGCCACGGTCTTCAACTGATAATCTACTATGGCTCACATATCATTGAGGGTCAGGATTCGGGGCACAGGAGTCCCAACAACTTCGTAGGTTTTGTCATCTGTGCACTGCAAACATGCCCACATACTCACCTATATTGATGGGTATCAAACACTCATGATCAAGTTAACAACGTGTTACATCCGTTTGAGGTGTATGCACATCCTAGTCATCCCCAATCTACCGCCAGGTTTTCATATCATCGGCATGGAGAACCATATGGGGTTTTGTGATATTTGGTACCTCATTTATGTGCAGGGGGAATAGCAGGAGTCCCGAGACTGTGCCTTGCAGTACTTCACTATCCAACGACTTTCAAGAAGGGAGATGCGAACTGATCCTTACTCTTATTCCCTAACAAACACGAATCTGTGATCCATGCAAGCAGGTTCCCAGTGATTCCGAAACTTTCCAGCTTCCCTAGCGACCTGGAGTGGGATACTGTGTTTATTAAATGACACCTACGGTCATCCTATCATCCCTGTACCTAACCCGGCTTGCTCTGACTGTGAGTATACCTGTCAAGCAAAGAAAATTTCTGTGAAAACCATACTACGAACGAGACAAAAGAGTTCTGATCTGCGGGTGGATCGGAAGATTCAAACAATAACCTAATAATCCCTAAATTCGAACTGAGCCTGCTTCAACACACCTCTCATATGCCATGAATAACGGTATCTAATGTATAGCTTAACACTGTACATAATAGTCATTTCTTAATGCCAAAATGATCAAACCTGCAAACTAGTTTGTATCCATGTAACCTATGTTGTATGAAATATATATATACATATATTATTAATGGCTAACTCGGTTGCTCTCTCTAGGATTTTAACCAAAGCGCTGGTCAAGGTTATCGGCCTGTAATCTGATGGGTGCTGCCTATAACCTGGATGAGGTGTCCCTCTAGCCCTCCTAGCCATCACTCGGGGACAGCATTGATATAGTGGTCAATGGGCCAGCTAAGTAGAGCTCAAGCCTTTTGTGCGGCCTTGGTGGAAGCTCTTCAGGTCCCGTTCACCTTGCTACCTACCGAGTACTTGATGTCTCAAATGCACCACAGCAGTCAATGTCCACAGGGTTTACTTCGCAGAAAGTCAATGCTTCCACCGTTGAAGTAGTGTCCACACCAGATTTCTGGGTAGAGGCCTCTGTAAAACATCCGACCATAGCTTCTGCTTTGTCCTCACCATCTTCAGTTAGACACTAGCCTTCAGTTCCTTTCATTAGGGAGGAATGCCATGACGCATCTTATTCCTATAATTCATACCAGAGAATAACCTTTGCTGCACAGCAGCGCACTCTGGGTAAGACACGTTTTAAAGCGTGTTCGGGACCGTTAGATAACGGCAACGCACTCATTTCGGCTCTTTCATTTCGGGATTATCGAGTTGGGTGACCAGAATCCAATACGTTTCCTCCAATTGTAGCAAGCTCCAAATTTAGCGGTTATCCATGCAACACAACGTTCTCATGCCCTCTGGACTGTATACGGGATGAATGGCCGAGTCACCTGTGCATATAACTGTTTGAGGAAGTAGGAAGCGGCCTCAAGCGGGACTCCTAGGTTATCTGTCCAATCCTCTGAATAGGCTGTCAAGCTAACAGGTGCCATATCTGCTTTCCAAGCCATAGGTCTTTCTGGAGCCTCTACCTCACACAAGAAGTCTGTTGTGGATCTGAAGATGAACGCAAAATGGTCAGTTTTACAGTGAATGCAAGATGTCGGATGAGGCTCAGATCAATCATGTGTGGGAATGTTAAGTCCAGAACTGATGCAGTATGCCGATTATCGTATTGGGTTGTGGGCTAGATAAGGGCCATAAAAACTGGTATCCACACCAAGCTAGTATAAAACGGACTTCATGACGCTTCTGTCGTTAGTCTATCTCAGTCGGCTGGCGGTGAATTGAGGTCTTCCACATCCCATACCTGCAATTATCTGTCCAGGGGGTAAGCTCCCTAAGTGGGAAGTCTTCTGCTCCATATTTATGGCTTTGGTATACCGCGATTAAGTTAACTTCCTACTCCTAGTATTTTAGAAGGCGGGCAGCGCTTCACATATTCCACTTTCGTTTGCAAACATTTCCGTTCTCTTCACTGTTTAGGGGCTAACTTGTTGCTTCAAAATGCAACTAATCCTCGTAGATTTCTTTCACTGTCAGTGGTCTCAAAAGAATGTCACGTTTCCAAGACGGCAACTACGTCAGGGATTCCTATCCTGAACTCATTGCTAAGCTCGGTCTTTTTGTTTGGGAGACCAGGTAAGTTTGTGTACCAGAGGATAACACTCCTTGAATCAGCTTTCGTCTTATGCAGAGACGTTTCGGAGTAACTCGCTACCGAAGGTAGTAAATACCATTTTGTAAGCCTTCGAGAATTATCAGTGTGACGGTGCCTGTAAAGTAGCTGCCCTCATGTGAGAACAAAACATTTATTTATCAGTTACTCGAAAACCCACCACTTCCGGGTCTTTCTCAGCTGCTGATGATATCTATTTGAGCTCTCCTCCTGATTCTTGCCCCTTTATTCCACAAGCAAGAGACAGGCCCATATCCGCGATCACTCCAGCCCACAGAAGTTTGAGTGTTCAGCAAAGTAAGATGTTTTTCTCTTCAGTTGACTTAAACATGACCTTAAGCAACTGAAACCTGCTTTTTAGAGGCTGCCTCTTTAGGCCTGTTCCATGTACCCCCAATAGAAGTGTCCCCGTTTTTTCTAGTAACAGCTGGTTTGACGAACTTTGTACTTGACCAATGTCATGTCCGAGACGTTTATGAGGCATTTTATCCCCATTTTCTCCCACTCAGTGGAAGATTATCGACCTTACAAAGAGTTCTACTTCGTCTTCGCCCCATGCAGAGTTAACACCTGGTTCTAGGACTGCCATTCGCTTTAGAGTAAGTCGCCTGGTCTTAGTTGCTTGGCGCTTCTCACAGTTGGATGCCGAGGGCTACCTAAGGTTTGGTTCAGTGACCTAGATACCGGCAGGTCCAGCGAGGATTTTTAACCCCTCCTGTCCACTCATCGTCACTAATCCGGCCGATGAACCGAATGTGGCCTGTGGCTCCTATACCCCTTAGTTTGCACCCCATCCCTTTCGTGAGAAGCCAACCTTGTCATGTAGTCGGTGACTTTCAGACTACAAGTGCTAGCCCTGAGGATCCGAGACTCTGAAGATGCGTACCCTGCCCCGCCTTGTGTAGCGTTTCTTTGATAGCCATCGAAAAACCTTGAAAGCAGTCTACGCACCCAACTTCCAGCCTGTCATCAGATAAGAGTGCTTTCGCTCCTTCAACCACCCCATGAATGTCCGGGCAGTGCGAAATCCAAAGGTAGATACTCCTCGCACCATCACAATTTCCGTATGCCAAAAACCTGAGGCTTGCGCAATTATTGCGGTACCAAATTTTACGTTCAGAACGCTACATACAGGGGACCACCACAAAGTGGCACCGCAGCTTGCCGCAATCATTTGTGAGACAGTTTGCTCGACCATACCACTGGGACTAGGGAAAAACCTGGCAGAACGTAGGCAGTACGTGAATGGAACGATGAAAACTATGAGGAACCCCTGAAAAACATATTAGGAAGAATTTATACTCTGAAAGGGAACAATCGCTTTGACATTTACACTATTATCCACCAGAAATCTACCCAGAAGTGTTTCTGTCCCACAATAATCGGGGATTATTTCGATAAGAGATAAAACGCAATAGACACTGATGTATGAGCACAAAAATGCTAAGAATTTGACCAGAGGCAGAAAAGTCACTCCCATTTAAACTTCAGTTTTTCTGCTATAAAAATAATGAACAATCGTTCCTCGACTCCTACGTCCATCTTAATGCAGTAGGTCCCCTGTTCGCGCTGTCTGGCGAGTTTCTTGGTGCAGAGAAACCTGAAAGGACAGAGATGATCGGACAATCAGTTAATCAGCTAAATATAGTTAGTGCTGCTACCCATGGCGTGCAGGACGGCAGGATCATTTTATGCAGGCATAACCTAGTAGTTCACCCCCAGTTGTTGCCATCACCTCGTGTCTGAAACCCATCTTGTGCATGCAGAGAAATTTGCGTTCTTCGATAACCGTGTTCATAACTTCTCAACTGATGGGGTCCTACTGGACCTAAAGAATACTGCGATAATTAAAACCGTTTTTCTCAAAACGCCATGCCCGCGGTGAGTTCGTAACTTGCGTTACATTTACACGTGATCTGTTATACTGTAACTTTAACGTTACCAATCATTCGATATAG